CCGCGCCGGCCGTGGATCCCGTGCGGTGTTCCTAAAAAAGCCACTGCTCCGAAAACAGAAAAGCTAGGAACACATTTTTGGCGTCGAAACACGCACACTATGGTATTACAGAAACCCATGGTATTCCCACACATCACCACACTCCGTAAGCACGGATAACGTCACGCATTCCAGCTGGCAATCGTGCTGACGACAGATCGAACGGGACTTAAATAAAAAGGCGTGGCAAGAAGCGCAAAAGGAAATGCGCAGTGATTGGCGAATAAGCGCTGTAAAAATCAGCCTCTCCATGCGCTTTTCATATCACATTAGAGCGGGCCTGCCGTTGGTCTCTAGCAATATCTGCATCGATTGATTTCCGACGGGCGTTGATTCCAAGAACGGTACGTGTTGTATTGTTTCACTGCTGTTTAGGTTGTTTCATGTAGTTTAGTTGAGAAAGTGTGCTCGGGATTTTCACTGTTACATTTAAATTGCCCGTCTTAGCGTGCGTACTTTGAAGTTCAGCGCCCTCGGCGCGCAGGCAGCTTAGAAGGATGGCCTTTCACGTCGATATTCGCCGTGAAAGGGTCCGCCACCGGCGAGTTTTAGGCTCCATATGAACTTGGAGTGGCAAGTTTGAGAAGACCTCGGGTAAGCTTTTTGTGGCAGTGGAAGACCCATGTGCATCTTGATGTTTTGTGTTGTCCCCATGATCAGGCTTGGAAACTTGTAATTGTGTGAATTAAATGGATGTTGATGCTGATAAAATAAATGCATTGTGTGAATTAAGCGTTGATAAAATAATGTTTGATAATGATGATATGAATGCACTGTGTGAATTAAGCGTTGATAAAAGGATTATTGGTGCTGATAAAGCGATCGCATCGTGTGAATTAAGCGTTGGTAAAATTAGTTTTGTTAAATCCAGATTAGGGCCAATAATGTCTGACTAAATGTAATTTAGACCCATATAGGCAAAGAAACCCCAAGAGAACATTGGGATGCTCCTAGAACCGCATAGGGAGTTCTGGTTCCTTCGTACAGAATTTTTGAAATTGTTGCAAGAAATTTCAGGGTGTTACTTTAAAGATATAGTAAAAAGAAGGATCATAGAGCTCCGTCACCGCCTTGATTATTCTCGCAAGGCCCGTGAGCATCCCAAGAAGTAATTATTTAAAAACTGCAAAATTCCAGATTATTGTTTCACAGCGTGCACCCCGTTGCAACACCACACAAAGTGGCGGTGCAGTGATTCCGACAAAAGGTGATTAAACTGGCTGCCGCTGACTTCAAGGGTCGTCTGGAGGAGGTCGGGCCCGTCGTTGCCAGCGGTACTTGTCCTGGTAGTCCGGTACAGCTGTGTCACAAGCACCCTTCAGGCAGACACTCGCCTGACACGTCCACCGACGTCGAACGGGAAAGCGACTGACCGACGGCGTGAGCTTGCGCAGACACTCCCTGGACTTCCAGGTCTTGAGAAGTACCTAAGACAAACTGCCGTCGAGAAACTCTTGACCGAGAACTTTGACCCTCGCGCGCTATCCGACTGAGCTGACCTGGAGATTCACGCTAAGGTCAAAGTAGCTGACCCTCGTGACGCGACCGTGTGACGGAACCCTGACTCTCCCCAGACCTTGCAGAACCTCGTGCCTACGGCCACGGTGGGTGCGCCTCCCGTGACTGTTCCGGGAGTTTAAACGTGGAGTGGCGGCGGAGTGGGAGTGGTTCGGAGACGCGTGGCTGCCCACACGCAGTGGCGCCGTCCGCTGGCTGCCGGACGCGGTGCTTTTATCTTCCATGCGGTCTGAGGCAGATCTCTGCGCAAATATTCCGGATACCGCCGAATAGGTCGAAATACGCCTAGTGCGGGACCGGTTTCAGGCTGACACCGAGAGAGTCGGTAAAGCGTCAAAATTTGTTGTAGAAGGCCGTTTTGGGGGAAAGCACGATTGCTCGAGAAACGGCGACCGGGATTGTACTATGAAGAAGCTTTCATAAGAGAAAGCCAGGTCTCGCTCCACTTCTCCCCCTCATCAAAGAAGTGCACGGATCGCTGGCTGAGCTGGCAGCAGCAGGCCTAAAATAGAAAGCTGCGACCAGTCCACTACAAACCAGCGGCTTCAACTGGGAAAAGCCAACGCATAAAAATCTGATCGTTTAGGGTCAAACTACATCTCCGAAGCCTCACATAAAATCGCTCCATGGCAATATTCAAGTCTTACGTGTTCTGTCTGCTCGCGCTTCCTTCAGTCACACCACGGTCTATTCAGACCAGACACGAGCGCTGCGATACGGATAACTGTCTTAACACGCGGGGCGAGCAGGCGGCTGCCGACCCCGGCGGACGGCGCCCCAGGCAGTACACCGCCGATCGGGGCAGCGGCGTACTTGAGGTGCAGCAACACTGGCGCGCTGCGAGCAGGGGCGAACTCAGGCGCACGCCAGTAACATCACGATACACGCCAATGATGGGTATGAGACGATAAATGCCGGGGTTTCAGGCCAAATTTGACGAGTCCTACAAATTCTAAGATTGCATTGTGTTCTCTTCTTTTCGCCCGGCGTACTGATTTAAAAACTCTGCGTTTTGCAGCAGTTGCTTAGTCACTGCCACAGCTGTGTCGATTCTTAAACAATTCTAGTTATTTCAGGGGATTATGAACCCGATGCCTTTCCTGGATCTGTCAGTGTTCATGGTCCGAACGCTGCAGTGAGCAATCGATCTCAACAAGCGATCGATCGCTACTACGATCGGTCACTGAGTCCAATTGTTGATCGTGTGAACGCGCGTTCCTTGTTTGTGTTTGCTGAGAATAAGATGTCAGCCGTAGCATGATCTTATAGCATGTGCAATGACCTGTCGCGGGTCAGAAGGTAAGTTGTTACGTCCATGCTGCGAGTGAAGGGGAGAATGGGAGGGACGGAGAGAAAGAACATGAGCTATTTGAGAAATAAAAGAATGCTCACGTTTTGGTGCTTTGGCCGACAGAATGCGTCGTATAGTAGAGCATTGAGCGTGAGCAAGCTGACCATTCTGTTTGTATTCATCAAAGCCATCATGCGGCATACTTCAACGCGCTAATGCTTAGTTAGCGAGCAGCCATGGTATTGGAATATTAATATTCCAATATTTGTAATGCTGTATGTGCGTGTAATATTATGTAATACTGTAAATATGTATGTAACATAATAATTCAACAATATTGAAAACCTTGGATGCACGCATTTCACAATACACCCGCCGGCCCGACTCCGTGCGCATCCTTCCACAGATGAGGATATACCACGCAACCATGTAGCGGCGGTCGCCCGTCACCTGACCTACATGCTGACTGGAGTGCTTAAAGGTGAGCTTAAAAGAAATGCCTTAGCAACCAGTATCGAATGTTTCAATACACATCACCATTTTTTAATTAGGCAACATCGAATGTCTTTGCTGGAGCCCACTCTGGGCTACTTGCATATGTCACATAGGCACACAGCATAATTTCGCTTCCAGTCGCTGACCTGTGACGGACATACATACCAGGACAAGGCGAGGCTGACGCACCAGGAATGCTCGGCCCCACTCGTCTTATATGACACGTAGCTATTGCACGTCAACAGATCATAATGTGATCTGTTGACGCTCGAAAACATCCATTCTGTAGCCAGTCAGATATGACTGCAAGACGCTGAGCTCGCGGCTCGATGCTGTTATCAGGAACAGTCCACTGGTTTCGCTCAATCTGCACCCGGGTTATTAGGATCTTCAATGACAATGGATGGATTGATAGGGCTGCTTTCTGCCGGGAACTAAACGGGGTCAGTGAAAGAGCTTTGAATGGATCTTTGACACTGAAAAGCAATAGATTGCAATTTGATTTGAAAGCGCGGTTCCACCAAAATG